TTTCAAGGCTGGAGAAGTGGGCTTGGGCCAGGTTGGGTATGGGGAAGGTCTTAGCCTTTGGCAAAGGGGAACAGTGACCAGGGGGCACTTTTGTTTTGAATGAAGAGAGGATGGAGAGAAAAGTCTGGAGTAAATGTAATTCTTGGGGTGGAGTGGGGGAATATGGTGGGGGACGGTACCCAGAGATGGTGGGTTCTGGAAGGAGAGGCTGGGGGACTGGGCTCCTTCCCAGCTTGGACAGTGGGTGTGGCGGGGGGCACGTACCTTGCCAAAGCAGTCCAGAGGGTCAGTCCCTGAGTACCCGTAGTCATGGACGCCCAAGGGGGTGGTGGAGAAGGTGTCCTTCCTCTCCAGCAGCATCCCGAGGTAGCACCAGGCCAGAGCTAGGGGTGACGGGTGGGAGAGGGTGTCTAGGAAGCAGCATGGGGGAGGGAAAGGGGAGCCACCAGGACGGAGGGGGCAGCCCCACTCAAGGTGTCAGCCCCATGAAGACAGAGGGGACAGTGGCATGCAATCACTGAGGGCAACCCAGGGACAGAGAGGAACAAAGATGGAGAGAGGGGACGTGTGAGGGGTGGGTGAGCACAATTTGGTGCTTATCCAACCTGTCACCTCGGGCCTCATTTGAGGCGCATAGCTCTCTCCTGATGTCAGCTCTTCACCAGCTCTGGTGGTTTAGTCCCTGTCCTTGCTGTCTGGCTCTCAGAGAGAATGACTGGACTCCTCTCCAACAGACCCGTCATCCCCTCAACCATAAAATGGGGGCGGCAGGTGGAGATGGGGGAAAACTGTCTCTCTCACCCCCAGGTCATGAGCTGCAGACCTGGAAACACGCCACTGTAGTGATTTGTAAATGGTGTGTTCACGCTGGCGAGGTGTGTGGGCTTCTATTTTTTTTCTTTTTATTATTTCAAATTTTCTTTTTCTCTTTATTTTATGTCATCGTGACTGCAAGTGTGGGCTTCTGGAGGTGAACAAATGAGTGTATAAGACAGGGCTAGGGAGAAAGTGCAAGAGGTGGGGACAATGCCAGAGGCAGGTGGGGCTGGGGGTGCAGGGAGAGTGGGCAGAGGCCGCCGCCCACCCATCCTCCGGCCCCTACCTCGGTGCTGAGGGTCCGAGGACTTGAGCACCTGCCGGAGCAGGGCCAGTGTGCGGTTGAAGGCCGGCAGCCTCTTCTGCTCCTCGCTGCCCAACTCCAGGAAGATGCCATCTAGCCTGTGGCCGAGAAGGGGATGTGGCTGGTTGGCGCCCCTCCCAGCTGTCCCCCGGGTGCTGCAAGCCCTGCCCAGGCCCATGGCAGGGAGGGGGCCTTGGGAAGACCTTGCCATGGGATGGGCTCAACCACCTTTGCCCTCGCCCTCCTGCCTGGGTGCCAGGCCACACCTCTGCCCCCATATCCGGAGTCCCCAACCCCCCTGGCCTGACCTGATGAAGAGTGTTGCCATGGTGAAGTACCAGCCCCTCTTCTCCTCCACCGGGATCTAGGGAAGCAGAGAACGGCCCATGCTGCTGTCATTGAGGTACTCGGGCCATTGTTCGTAAGTTCCCACACTTTCCCCAAGTCCCAAGAGGCAGCAAGCACAGTGGGAAGGGCTTTGGCCTTAAACACCCTTGATTATAGTCCCAGCTCTGCCAGTCACTGGCTGGGTGGCCTTGGGCAAGTCACTTCGCTTCACTGACCACA